GTTGGTGACTTTGATTGTAGATGCTTCCGCCCAAAGCATATACGGATGATATAGCCACGAGCATAACTACCAAATTTGTTCACACGAGTACGAATAAAGTACGATGCCCCGTCAACTGCGTAGTCGTAAGTAAAGTCATTTACACTCAGCCATGTGGATTATTTTGACCTTTCCCGCCAAAGTGGACACCAGAAGGGAGACGTATATTGACCGGGTCAACAAGTGGAGAATTCACACTATGGAATGGGCTCACTTTCAACTTTGAAACCATTCTCCAAGCGCACGACAATGCCATTCGAGCTCTTGCCTTTTCTCACTCTGGAGGCTATCTCATCAGTGCCGACCAATCTGGGGTGATCAAGTATTACCAGCCGAACATGAACAATTTGGCCGCATGGCAAGCCCACCGTGAAGCGGTACGTGGCGTAAGCTTTGCGCCTAGTGATAGTAGATTCGCCTCTTGTGGCGACGACGCTAGTGTCCGAATATGGGCGTTTGAGGAGATGAGGGAGGAACGATGCATAACAGGTGCGCCTAAAGATCCGTTACAGATGGCTAATACTAACCAAGTCCAGGCCATGGATGGGATGTGAAATGTGTCGAATGGCACCCCACTCGCGGCTTGATTGTTTCAGGAAGCAAGGACAATCTTGTAAAATTTTGGGACCCACGTTCAGGACAGAACTTGAGCACACTGTGAGTCTTGCCTCTTAGCACACGAGCAATTTATAACATTTCACTAGCCATTACCACAAAAACACTATACAAGCTATTAAATGGAACCCAAACGGAAACCTGGTCGCCACAGCTTCCCGAGACCAAACCGTACGCGTGTTCGACATTAGATCTATGAAGGAATTACATGTACTCAAGGGCCATAAAAAGGAGGTCTGCTGTACGTTTGTCTCTAGGACCTTGAAGATGTATGTTCTGATGCGATTACCATTCAGCTCTTACATGGCATCCTGTCCACCACGATCTCTTGGTTTCTGGGGGTGCCGAGGGCTCCGTCTACTTTTGGACGCTGTCATCATCCACTCCGAGCGCACCACGGGCTACAATGGACCAAGCACACGAATCAAACGTCTGGGCTCTTGCCTATCACCCTCTGGGCCATATCTTGTGCACGGGCTCGAACGACCACACCACGCGATTCTGGTGCCGCGATCGACCTGGTGAAGGCCTTAGCGGTACAGGTACCGGTGCGATGGAAGAAAGTACCGAAGACGATGGGTATGATGCGTTGCCTGGCTTTGGTATGGCAAGTTCTGGGGTGAATATGGCTAGTCAGGATGCAGGACAGGGCGGGATGGACTGGGAAATGGGCAATGGGCGCCCGGGGGCTGGTGCTTGGGGTACACAAGGTGACGAATTCATCCCCGGATTCGGTAAGTCTGCGTTACCACCCACCAATGACAACGGTGGAGGTAGCGGTTCTGGACGTGCCCCTCCGCCGCCTGGGTTTGGTATGGATGACCTATACGAAAGTCGCGGAGGAGGTGGACGTGGGGGTGGGTATGGCGATCGCGATTACGGTGGTGGTTACCAACGCGGTGGTCGGGGTGATGGAAGGCGCGGTGGACGAGGCGGACGTCGGTGGGATTAATTTGGACGCTCTCGTGGTACTAAGCTGTATTTCTATAAGTTTCTAGTAAAATTGCGTCATTTGCTAGCATTGGAGTTCACATGTTTGCCCCTCGAAATTTCTAGAAGCGACGAGCGCTTATCAGCCATGACCACCTGGCTCGCTGGAGCCGAACTTTACAGCATACATGAAGGGTATAAATAAGGCCGCTCTCTCGCTTCATCCTCTTCACTACTCCAGCACTCAAATCTCTTCAAAGCTACATACTCTATCATGTCTCTTACTCGCGGTTTCTTTGGCGACTTTGAACCCCTCTTCCGCTTGGTTGAGGACCCCCGCGCATACAATCACTCCCGCCACGGTGTAAGCCACAACCAACGCCAAGCGGTTGCGGATCTATCTGAGGAGGAGAAAGGGTTCGTGGTACGCGCCGAGCTCCCGGGGGTTCGAAAGAAAGACCTGGATATCCATGTCGGTAATGATGGCCGCTCCTTGACCATTGAGGGACGTGTCCATCGTACCAACAAGCCTCAGGTAAATGAGCCAGCCGAGAACAAGGAGGTGTCTAAGGGTAAGTTGAATATTTAATTAATGTCTCGGCGAGCCGATACTGATGTTTTGTCAGATGCACCCGAGTCGGCTGAAACATACGAATACCGGTCTATCTTCTCGCGCACAGTATGGTTCCCGCAGGCGGTGGACGCTAAGAACGCCCAAGCCAAGCTCGAAGATGGTATTCTCACGCTGAACATTCCGAAGCGTGAGGAGACTGGCATCCAGAAGATTTCCTTGCTCTAAACCGTGTTTACAATGTTAACCTTCCAGTGTCTGGTTTTGTGTCTCTTTTCGTGTAGTAAATGGCCTGTAGCAAATATTAATATTCGTGTATCAACCCATCAATGAAGATCAGGCTTGTCGGCCCAATGTTACCTCTTTTACGCTAATTTATTGCAAGCTATGGATATATAAACACGTTGTAGAGCTGGGTCAAGGAAATCATTCAATTTGAAAACAAATTTACGTGAACGTAGCTACGGAGAGCGAAGAAGTACATATTTCTGTAAATTTAGTGGGATGTCGTTAATCCGTTCGCCGCCACTGGTTTATTCTAGGCGAGGTTGGCAAGCCCAACTTGGGTATTAGCTTCGTCAAACACGCTATAGACGTTATGAACGCATCTCCAACAATCCAAGCGTTGTCGGGGACCGAGTCGGTGGCTACGATAGAGCCGACATAGGTCGAGCCCGAGCGGTCGGTAGTGCCAACTATACAGCATACAGTCAGCGGGGTTCCAGGTAACAACGAAAACGCCCAATACCCACTGCTCAAACTCGAACTCGACATGGAGAACGATGCCCCGTTGAAGACAAAGGCGATGGTTGGAGCGTTGGAGCAGCTGAAAGTATATTATCCATCTGCGCCACACACTGGAATCGCAGGCCGAAGCACCGTCGACGGCGCTCCAGAAGGAAGCGACCGAGTCTGATGGCCCAACGACCAAGGTCGTGCCCGAGTCGATGGTCATCCCGCCCGAATATGCGCTGGATCCGCCAACAGTGGCACTTCCGGTGGTCAACTAATAAGTTTCGCTGGTCAACGATGAATAAGTGATGTCACCGGTGTAGAACGATTCATCTGTTCCTCCAATGTACAGTTTGGCCCCCGAGGAAGTGAGCTTGAACCCAAATGTGGATTCGGAAATGACACCAGACGAATACAAGTTTTCGATGATCGTAGGTTGGCCGATTTGGGATATGGATGAAAATGCGAGCCCAACTAAACCATCACTGGGGTCAGAGGAGAAGCTGTCCGACTCGGAAATGGCTGCGGAGAAATATTGACTAAGATAGCGTAAATGCATGGTTCCGGGGTTAAATAGTGTGGATACGTACTTGATTGCCATCAGCCCTGCCACGGTTATGGTGTCGGTATAGATTGGACCGGAAGAGGTGCTCCCTTCTCCGTATTCGATGCTAAAATCTCCAGACTGGGCTTCAGAAGTTGATGACGCAGATGGACTATATTTATTATGCCCGGAGCATCCTTCGGAGTTGCAAGATACGTTGGGGACCCAAATATCGGCAGATCCACTAACTCCCTGTTAGTTGCGCATACATCTGGCTAGTAGGTATGTCTCACGTATCAAAATCCATTAAGAATGATTGCGCCGGGGTGCCTATGGTGATTTCGCCCGCCTAAACTATATACAAATAGGTTAGCAAAGCTACTGGGTTACGAGCACTATATGTAAGCCTTTGCCCCAATGCCAAGAGCAAAATGACTCCAACTACAAATTTGTAGTTTTATACTTTAAAGCATACAGCACAAAATAATTCTGTTTTCATTGTGGAGGCTGCCAAATTATTGTTGGAGCTGTACGGTATGTTTAGATCGCAGCATGGTTACCTCGTTGCGAGCTCGAGGACTTGTTCGCAAGTCAAATTTTTAACACGAAAAAGGGCGATGGTATTACATACCAACCCTGCGTATAAATCATCCAATGGCACTAGATTTAACGCAGTGAGGGGCGTTTGGGTCGGCCGTAGCTTTGAAATATGTTCCATGGCTTGACCTTTGCATCCAAGCGTGGGTAGTATAATGGTTATTATCTCGGTTTCCCATCAAATGGCCTGCTTACATAAGCAGGGACCCTACCGAGGAACCGGGTTCGATTCCCGGCTCACGCAATCCTTTTGTTCACCCTTAAAAGTCCTTTTTAGCACACGTAGTACG